CAAAAAGATAGAACCAAAGAGTAAGTGGCATTTTCCATAAGTATAGCTTTGCTCACAGTAATCAAGGGACATACAGCAAAAAGGGTAAGAATGTAAGCACCAGCGGTGACCCCCAAGCACATCACTGAACTTAACCTAGAAAGGAGAAATAAAAATTTGTAAAAAACATTAAATTGTACAAAAACTTATCTTAAATTTAAGATTCCACCACCATTTTATTATAAAGCAACGATGACATTCAGTTGAACATACCTAAAGTAGTCAAGAACATCGGCTATCTGATCTGCTAAGTCATCAACAGAAGGAATAGGAACATCGGAAGGAATAGGACCAGCTCCTAACTGCAACAACACTTAAGCAAGAGGACAAAAAAATCATTAATAAGAGGTCCTTAAGATACAGAATAATTGTATTGAATAGCTTCAAGCCTTAACGAAAAACAAAAATAGTAACTTAGCTACCGACCTCATGTCCTGGAGGGCTAATATGATATATGCAAAAATTATGAAGCAGCAAAGAAGCAGCTTCGGGCCAAAAGAATAATCCTTGGAAGCAGGACATATCTGTTTAATTTAGCAACAGATGCAGGCAAAGGATTAGCAGAGTTCCAATCAACTAAAAATGTAGCTGCCCATAAGAAGGCAAAGTATATAGACACAAAACCAAGTGAATTTTAGGGGCAATATGCATCCTTACAGTGTAAATTTGATTTCATGACAAAAAAAAGTATAAGCATGCTTACGATTTAGAGCTAAATCTGGATATGTAATAAGTGCAGGCTTGTCCTGATCTCCATAGACAGCTACAGACAGTAAGCCATGGCTGGTCTGTACAAGATGATCCTGATTGAAGCAATTGATACTTGAAAATCAGCAAGCAGAAAAGGGAATGCAGGTGTTGGTTAACATACTCTAACAGAAATAAGGAGCTTGACGAATTATACAAAAAATAACTTTAAAAAGGAAAAGTAAACACTGTGAACAACAAATGACACATGATATTTGATGGAATAAAAATAGGCTGTTAAACCAGCTGAAGTGTAAGTTCCCATTCTAACTCCAATATATTTGGAGGAAGAAGTCTTGCCCAGTAAAACAATGTAAATAAATGCTTCATTATAATTGAGATGTGATTCTCGCAAAACATCCTTCCCAATCTAGACTGAGTACTTGTCTTTCAGGCCCATCCCTTAGCTATTACCTGATGTAATGAAATTTCCTTTTAATTGGTTAATTGCTTGGTTTTTTTCTTTTTTATTAATTGGCATGTCAGTTGACATAAATCATATTGAACCTATAAAGTTACAGGTCACCAATAAAACTGGAAAACATGCTCGCACTACCCAATGTAATTCATGTTCATCACTCTGCTGATGACTACACTATATGCTCAGATTCATATGAAAAGAAAATCCAATTATTCTCCACATGTTCTGATAACCAGAAGGAATAATCATAAACAGACAAGTCAATGACGAACTTAACAGTTAACTGTTTGGGCCCATCATGCCTTGATGAGACTTATTTAACTCCAGTTAACATTTTATATTTGGAAGGTAAAACAACCCTGTAGATTCAGCAATGGAAGCCGCTGGAGAGAATGATGCAGGACATTGAAGATTTGATTTGATCAGAAAATGTACTGATCTTTTATTGGTGTGATTCCCTTCTTAGATCCCCCCATGTATGCATAATTATTTTTTGCAAGATTTTTAGTTATAGGGATGTAGTAATGTAGTTTTAGGACTATTTTGCGGCGTGTTTATAAATCATAAAGAACTTGTGCTAGTTGGCGGTAACACTAGGATGCAGTTTGGAGGGATGAAATCCAGTCGATAGTTTTGCCCTTGTTATATAACAATAGACAAAATGGATATTGAAAATGATGAATAGAGAAATACTAATCATGCGTTGTACAAAGAATAAGTCCAGACATCTAACGTTTTGGCATAGGCATTCTACATAGTTCAAATGTTCAATAGAGTACAAATACCAATATTAGAAATTATAGCTCCAAAGAGTTGTAAAATAATAAAGGAAAACATAAAAGGGCTAGGCTTCCATCTACCATGCATATCCTCAGTAAAATACAAACCATGTAAAACAATAAAGAAAAGGACAGCCTGCGGACTGTTCTTTCATACTCAAATAATCAAGAGATTCTAATTCATATCTCAAGCCATGCGTCAGACGATGGATTACTTGACGATGAATTTGACTTTATTTGCTACTCTTTCTTCATGTTATTCAATTCTATTTTAAAAATTTTAAAGTTCAATACTATTGTTTTTGACTTTTTGTATGTTGTCTCTATATATTGCTTGAATTTGAGGTTGCCAGCCGTTATCTTATTATGATCCTACTAATAACTCCACTTCCAAGCGATGCAATTGAGCAAAAGCAACCAAAGTCTTAGAACTGACTCTAGCGTCTTACAAATTTTTTAAATATTGGAGATTAATGAAACTACCGATAGAAATAATTCTATTTACATTAAGACTTAACAACATGAAAATGATCCTCAAAACTTGGACTAATGACATTCTAAAAAGGATGTGCATAGATTTCTCAAATTTAAAAATGTTTGATAAAAGTGGAAGTTTTACAGCCTCAATAGATATAATAGAAACTAAAAACCAAAATTTATAGAAATAAACCAACCAAAAAAATGAAAAAAAAAACTACTCGGCAAACAAAAAACCTAATTCGCGACAATTAATCGCGTATTCGAGTCGAAGAAAAAAATAATCACATTAAATTAAAAAAGGGAAGAACTACATTTAAAAGATACCAAAGGAATCTAACAAATATATAACAAAAATAGCCCCAGATCCAATATTTCAACACCGAACGCAATGCCGATGAAAAATCGACTCAGAAACCCTAACCTTCCCGCCAAAAGAGATGTGCTCCACGTCGATGGAGACGGAGCTGCTCGATTCTCCCATTCGGATCCGATAGCTGCACTCGTTTCTCGCTCCGCTAACAGAAACCCTCTCCCTCTCTCTCTCTCCCCCCTCCTCTCTCTAGAAATTCTTTTTATTTCTTCTTTTTTTTCAAAAATGCCCTCAATGATTCTACTTCCCTTTGGTGTTTATATATTTATCCTTAACCCAGGGATTAACCCGGGTTAACCCACCGACGCTCTCTCTGAAAGGGTTAACGTAACCGGAGGTGACCGGTGAGGTTAACCGCGGGTTAGCGGAAACCGACAGCTTGACGCTAAATAACGAAAGTGACCCCACAGCGTTCTGATAGAAAGATATATGTGGAGAGGAATTGACGTAAATGGCCTTCCATTTGCTCGTGCGTCGCTCTCGCAGCACCCCATGTTTTGTATAGAAGGATAAGGTCTCTGTTAAATGCTGATTAATTACCGTTGGTTTGACTTGTGAGCGGGATTACTTGTCGTTCAAATTCGCAAAATTATGTGTTGATCCTTCTAATGGTAAAGTTAATTTCAAGTCCCTTGGGTAACAAAAACTTTTAATAAATTTTTTTTGTCTTGTTTTGTTTTCTTTCCCCGTCATAAATGTTACTTTTAATCAAATGCTCAGCTTGAATTCATCTGTTCTAAATAACAATTTTTTATTACTCTAAAAAGTATAAGTGTTAACTTGACCATATGAGACCTATTGCATATTTGATGGCTCCACAGCTTGTTATTGTGGATGACGAGAGAAGGAAGAAAAAGGTTCATTCATCCACCAGCAATTTCATCAGAGATCATGTTCTTTATCATCTTCCAATCGCGAGAGTGACTCATCAAAATGTATGCACAGTGGTTCTACACAAGATATTATTTTATAGTGAAAAAAGATAACAACATCATGCACTCGTCTCAGATCTTATTGAAGCATTAGAATTACAAGATGATAGGTATTTTGAACAAGAATTACACGATGCTAGATATTTTTTAAACAAGATATCACAAGAGTCATGTAAATGTAACTTTATTAGCTATGAGTATTATCACCATTTCCTTTCTAGCTAGAAGTAAGAATTTTGTTCTATATATAATTACTTTAAAAAATACATTAACATTGTCTTATTAACAATCAATGATTACATGTTATCCTTCTAACCATTTTGGGTAACTATTGTTATAAAACAAAACAGTCTTATTCACTATAAAATAATTAGAAATTTAGACTGATGTACGTAAAAGTGTAACCTTTTAAAAGGAGGAGAAAGATTTTAAGATCGAAATTTAAAATTAGTTTACACAAGGGGCTCGTCATAATTTTCCCTTCAGTTAATGATCCCTTCAGTTAATGATCATTGACCTGCCCCCATTAGCCCTTAAATCAACGTTTGGTACTAAACCACGAGAACCTGTGGCGTGAAAGCCGCGCTAACTAAGGCGCTTCTGTTTAAGATTATAAGGGGTAATCTCGTCATTTTACTCCAACGGTTAGGAAACAGAGGTAAAGGACAAAATGAAGAGTTACGGGCCGTTAGATCTGTCAGCGTTGCGGTCCCGTTTCAAAGGTTACAAAAGAGACCCGAATCCGATAGCAATAAATGGGATCAGAAATCGTGTAATTGCTCACCATGCCCGTTTATGGTATCCACGTTTTTGTGCCGGTGATTCGGGTTAAAAGATAATCTGCACATAATAATAAGAAAGTAGAGAGCGGGTCCAACCGATGATTAGGCAGGTTTGTGGACCGTTGGATTTTTGTCCATTTTTTGGAGGGCCCAGATCATTCGTAACAAATTGGAAATTTAGATAGAATTTGGTTGCTTTCCACTTTTCACTTGACGAGGGACTTCCATATAATATAGTCAATCATTTTACGTTCAGAATGTTATGGCTCGTATTGAATATATCATTACCACAGCTCTTGTTATTTTGGAGCACAAAGTTTTATTAGAATAATAACCGCATGCCGAGGGTGTTATGAGTCATCCGCGAGTAAGAGTAAAATAAAATTACAATTTCTCTTTATATATATATATATATATGAATATATCATTACCACAGCTCTTGTTATTTTGGAGCACAAAGTTTTATTAGAATAATAACCGCATGCCGAGGGTGTTATGAGTCATCCGCGAGTAAGAGTAAAATAAAATGACAATTTCTCTTTATATATATATATA